CCTAGTAGCGTCCTTGCTCCTAGTAGTAAGGCCAGGAGCCCCTAGTAGCGTCCTAGTAGCGCCCTTGCTGCTAGTAGACAGGCCAGGAGCCCCTAGTAGCGTCCTTGCTCCTAGTATCTACATTTTGTCTACATTTTGGATATTTTTTGGTTTGTGCGGTTTGCAGGCTATCCTGGACATTGTACATTCAGGAGTGTTGCTACTCGTGCAGTGGCTTGTCATCGAATGATAATGAGGGTAAGGATTTGGATAGGGCTTTATAGTTGTATATGCAAGCTGTTGCTTGTGAAATGATTTCAGACAGGTCCTCTTCGCAGCCTGGGTGCGGTGCTGATCTCCTTGCTGCCTTCCCTCCGAATCTGTGAGCTGTTGTCATGTAAGGCCGTTTCTGTTGGTCATTGGCATTGCAAGTGCCGATCCGTGGATGTTGGTGACCAGCTAAGCCGATATTTTGTTGGAAGGCCATCATTGGATGAATGGTGTCCCCCAAGGCATCAGACTTTTTGCACTTGGAGAGCCTATTGCTTTTGAGGAGCTTTGCTAGGTGGGCCGACCGAACGAGCATTCAATTAGTTGCCCCGACAGTTTTTTGTTCTTTTAAAATATTTTCAGCGATGGAAGGTCAGAATCATTGGCACCAACAATTGGCCTGGCCTACGCGGAGGCGTTCCTATCACTGCATGCTAGCTGCAGGTGGGACCAAGAGTTGGACTTGCTAGGGAGGCATGATCGGGGAGAGCCATGTTAGATGTTCGAAGCAAAGCAGGCTGGGCTTCTCCCTGCTGTCGATGGGGATTTCTTGTGCAGAACTGCCAGCCCCATAGACCAGACCCACGCCAATTGCTATTGACTAGCCGAGTGACTAGCCTGTACATCGTTTCAGCTTAGGTCCTTGTTTGTCTCAACATTTGCTGCTTTGGGGGCCTCTTTGCTGCTCCAATCCTTAGCTTGGCCTGGAGCTCCCAGAACTGCAGACACATGAGTTGGATCTTCAAGGCCTTTTTGAGTCTGACACGTGCAGTGTTGTGAAAGCCAGGTTTGGGTTTTTGGTGCCGACACTTGCAACGGCATCAATGGGCAGCTTTCTGACAACTCTGCAGGCAGCGAATGTGGAAGCACCAGAGCAAACATGCGAAGCTGCATGACAAACTTGTTTGAGGCTGCGTGCGCGGAAGCGGTGCCACCTTTGCAAAGCTTTGGCCATTTCGAGCTCCTTGACGTTTCCAAGGCGTGTAGGTTGACAGGTTTTACCTTCATCGCACCAGGCGAGGACCCTGTCAGGAAGCGTAATATTCACTCCGCCTCAACAAGAGTGTTGTCAGGCTTGTATACGGACCTGGGTTTGAATACCGGGGCACCACAGAGCCCACACGTTTTGACATGCCAAAATTGCTGTATCAACATCTCAACAGCTCAGGCTCTCTTTCTTGGCCTTGGGTGTATCTACTCTGGACGTGGAGCCGTCAGTGCTGGACATCGCCAGCATTGGCACGCGACCCATTACTTGCTTTCGTCTTTGCAGCAAGTGTCTGGGTGTCTCGGTAAATTTGATCACCGATTTGTGACTCAGGAGTGTCAGCTTTTGCACGCAAGGTCCTTAGCAAAAGCCGCGCAACTTCCCGTAGTACACGGTGTTTGTGCAACACGATTCAATTTGATATGTAGTTACCTTGCAAAGGGTGTTCCAAGTAACCAGCGGGCCAAATCCCTGTTTGCATTGTTTATTGATATTGTATTGAGCACAATTTCCATAGCAGCTTGCCTTTTGCAAATCCTAACTCCAGAAAATAAGAGCCATGTTCATTAGCCTGTAATGGGTTACGGTTAGGTGTAAAGTGTAGTTATACCACTTGGTTTTTTTTCTCCCAACATGGCTCCGCAAAAGGAATCTCACTGGCAGACAATTAAGATTTAACGGGACACCACATGAAACTTGCAACCCAACTCTATCACTTCAGCGCCCACAGAGTCACAATTGCATGGATGATTGCTGAACCGAACGCGCCCCACTTCACCTCCCAAAACATGAAACTGTGTTTGTGCCTCAAAGGCAGCACCTGGAGATTGGACTCGCCACCTTCTATTTCTGGAAGGAGTTGCCCTGCTTCCTCTCTGTTGCTTTTGGATCGTTCCGAGCTTGAAAGCAAGAGCCTGAGTAAGATTGCCTTTTGTTCAGCCGTTCTGAATTAGCCACCTTGAGGTAGCTTGTCGTTGAGACGGTCTTTGCAAACTGACGCAGTGCCACCGTTGTTTGGACTAGGTGCTAGTTGTGCCATGTTGTGCCCAGTGTTTGTGTTGCTCCTTTCCTTGTCCTTCGGCGCAGGGTGCCTGGGGTCAACATCGCCAGCACTGGTCAGCACCCCAGACAAATAAGCACGCTTTTGGCAATGAAACTCAGCACTTGCTGCAGGACTTTCTTCTCCCCGACTTTTTGCTGCTTTTGCGAGAATTTGCTCAATCTGGCCTCCTGTTGCCTGCTGCTCAGAGCAATCTGACAAGTGTTTCAGCATTGAAGCTTCCATTGTCAGGAGATGTTGAGCTTTTGCCCACTTCTTTGCTTCTGAATAACTGTTGGTGCCCTTGCCATATCCTGCCGCAGGTTTGCTCCTGGTTTGGCTTGGATGGACGCACCCATTTCCATGCTGGGTCCTTCCCATGCCAGCTTCTCAATTCTCAAGTCAGAACAAGGGAGATCGCCGATCGTTGTCCACTGAGGTTGGAACTGCTTTGCTTCCTCAACGGTTTGCTTGCTTGGAATTGGTGCCACCGGCGCACCTTCCCCAGTGCCATCATCAATCTTCATGTGAATGTGGCAGTGTGGCTGAAACAGATGGCGGCGCTTTTGTTCCATGAGGGAAGCATTCCTTGCCTTGCCTGATTGTAAGGCTGTCCCCGCTCCGTGCCGGCACATCAATATTTGCCTCAGAAGCTTGGCTTGGAATGCGCAAGAGGAGCGGCATTTGTTCAGCTTTGCCAAGCTATATATAAGCGAAAAATTCCAAGGATGGCATTAGTCCTGGAGCCGCCCTGCTTCTGCACAGCGTGGATCCTATGAGCTTGGGATGGCACCTCCAAGAGGCACGAGTTCGAGCCTGATCGATGTAGATGTCGCAAGGCTTCCTTTGCACTGGTGTGGCTCCGCTTGTCTTGGGCACGTTGCGGGCACGTGCCCTAGCATACCCGCAGTGCCGTTACGCACACTTGGTGAGCCGCAACGTGCTTTGGCCGCCAAGTTTGACTTCCTTCTGGCAACTTTGGGAGCGTGGCATGTTGGATCCTCCTCGCCTGCAAGGCCTCATGCAGAAAGCCATAAAGTTGGTAACGAAACTATGAAACTTTGAACACTTCTTCAGCGCTTCTTCTAAGTTTCCCTACCAACCTAGGAACCACATGATGCATGAGCTTTCCTGCGTCCTAGCTAGTATTAGTAGCCACTTGTTGCTGCAAAGCTTACCTCTTAGGGGCCTACACCCCATCACCCCCCTGGCTTAAAAGAAAGAATACATTGTAATTGTTTTGTGAGGAGCCTTGGTAGACCTGGTCCAGCATTTCTGCCTTCTGGATCATGCCGACCCGACCACCCCCTTCCTGCGCTGGACTTTGTCTCTTGTCCCAATTCTATCACAGTGAGCTTTATTCTTGTTTGCCTTATTTCTTTCCCACATAGCATGCGTTGCAGACACTATCAGCTACTGTATTCCTAGGTTTGTTTCGGCTTGTCTTTGTTAGCAAGATCGCCTGCGACTCATTCTGCAACATGTTGTCGCTGCTTTCAACTTGACGTGGGAACTCAATGCCGAACTAGGTTTGCGCATTCTGACCCGGGATTGCTGATGGCAGGAGCTCGCACAGTCGCGATGTTATATACATTATACACATTATCTATATTTGTCCGCACATTTGTTTAGAATTTTGGTCAATGTTTCGTTTCAGGCGATGCGACGTTTGGTGGCAATGTCAATCTGGTGAGTGCGAAACTTGGCCCTTCTTCAGCTTGGTTGGATGTGAAGCGACGTGTTGTGTTGAGGCTCCTTACCAGCCCGTCACGCAGGAGCCCCAGAACCATGCCTGCAAAATCCAAGTCCCACCATTATCTGGGAAAGAGACCCTTCTACACGTATGCAGAGCCAGTGGGAATCCAGCGAGGTTGCCCACTTTGGCTTCTTCCTTCTTCTTCTTCAAATAAGTCGACTTGGCAGCTTACTACTTGTGTTGGACTCCTTGCATGTGGGAAGCTTAGGTATGGGGGGGCGGACTGGGTCAAGAAAGTCACTCTTGAGAGTCTAAAAGTTGCCATGGAGCTTTGCGAGTCCTCAGCGGTCACAACTTCTTGAACCCTTTGGTGCCACATTTAAACTACACTCAGCTGAGACTGGCTCCTCTTTAGCCTCGCGTAGTTTTGCACGTTGTGGCCTCAGTGTATCAGTGAGTGCCACAGCTTGACACAAGCAGCTGGATGCAGGCTGTGGTTCCCCTGTTTCACCATTGAACCTCTGTAGTCGCATCCTTGGGGCTGGCAAGCTTGGCCCAACTTTGAAGTTGCCTGCAATTTCTCTGGTTGTGCCAAGTGCCAAGAGGAAGACACACTTCGATGAGTGCATCAGGTGTGGACTCGTTGCTGGTGATGAAAAGCTCCATGCATCCTGAAGTGTCTATGTGCGACACTCACAATGACAAAGCTGTGGTCCACCTTGCGGATGTGCATTGCAGACACAGCACGGGGTTGAATGAACTCGCTCATGCAGGCCTTCATTGGGCAAAGCCTGCTCTGGTTCTATTCTGGCAGTTGGGGGCAATCTGCATCCAGGCCTGCAGACAGGTGGCTCATAACTTATACTATACCAATTCTTCCCCTACACTTTGCCACATGAACTTGACAGTGATAAGTTATTAATAAGTTATAAGGATCTGAGCTTCTAACTTGCCGCAGGTGCAGCAATCTATTTTAATGGACCGTTTTTGGGCAGCATTGGAGGATCCACTGAAGCTGGTTGACGATGTTTCATCTAAGGGGAACCTATTTGCAGTATGATGCTGGTGCAACGGAGTTGCGTTTGCACGTGCGTGCCTCATCGAATCAAGTAACTGAGCACAAGTACCACACGAGAATGTCGATGGTGTTGGGGTTTGCAGCTGCGAGTTTGAGGCTGGTGGCCTCAAGAGATTGAGCATCAGCAGCACTGGCGGTAGTTTGCATGGTGCTCCCTGAAGCCCGGATGTTGGGCCAGTTGGTCGGAGCGTCTACCTTGAGTGGGTCTTGCACAGCAAAGGTTGAGCTGATCGGACCAAATCATTGATCACTCAATATATAAGCGCCCTGGATCTCTCGCCAAAGGAGGGAGTGAGGACCATGGTTTTGGGTTCTTCGAATGTGATGCGAGCCAGTTAGCGCGTTCATTTGGACTAAGGCTGAGGATAACGTAACGTGTGCCATTTCACAATTGACGAAGACTTGCTAGTTCAGTCACCACGTTTCACTTTGATAAGCTTGTTCCAATTGACCAGCAACACTAGGAGACCCGCAGTAAGCTCACAAGAACCAGCATGGGACTGTCTATAAGAATGCCTTCTTAGATCTTCATAATATTTCTACTGGAGTTTCCAGTAGTGAACACACCTGCGGATTTTGCACCGCTCACCTACTGTACCTTTCGTGCAGCTCGTTTTTGGGAGGAAACATGCCGCAAGGTACTTGGTCATCCGAAAGCATCATTAGTGCTTCAGATCAACGACTGAAGCCACGGTCTGAGTGAAGTGCTGGCCATTCACATTTCCTTTTTGATAGCAAGTAGGTGGGAGGCCATCGCTATTAGGTTGGAGGCCATCGCTATTGGGCCATTGCTATTAGGTTGAGATCTCAGGCGCTTAGCTTGACCCAGGCGTCGCATAGAGCCACTAGAGCGAGCACTAGCTGCAAGAGCTCCAGCTGCGCAGGAGTCACAAGGAGTAAAAGTTGTTCAGTCATAGAGGTGTGGCTAATACGACTGTAGTGCACCTGGGACACACTTCTTTGTGTGCTAGGATCTGATAAAGATCGCGCCGTTGGCTGGCTGCTCCGGGAGATTGAAGCTTTGCCTTTTTCGGATGCGCAAGAATTTGCAAAGAATTTGAGCTTTGCCTTTAATGATTTTTGCAGTATATAGTATATGTATTTGTGATGGAAGACTTATATGGGACACTCTCCAGGAGCTTCGACCGGTGTCGTATCACTTCAAAGAAGGACCAGAGGCAAAGCTCGCCAGGCCGTTTCAGTAGGGTTGCAGCTGGTCTACTCATGTACTCGTGTGTTGAAGGTGCAATATATGCAATTCTCAGCGGTAATGTGGAGAGGAGGCACTACCAGGTCCATGGCATGAATTGAAGTCCTCGCAGCTTGTTGCTCAGATTTGCTCAGACCGCAGTTTTATCAAGAACGAAAAAGCCCAAGATGCAAGCTGTGCCCGAGACCATATTATCTACACTGGGGCAAACACACAGAAACAGCCGCTGAAGAAGCTACAGTGAAACTTGTAAAAGTTGTTTCGTATTGGGCCAGCAGCATAGAGTCGACCCCGATGAAGTATGAGAGGGACAGTGGACTTCTTCTTCGAGGTCCTTGTCATTGTCGAGAACCCCGATGCTACAGTCATTATTGGGCCCCTTACAAGTGCAGCGTGGCTGATTTTTCAAGGAAGCTATATACGTGCTCCAGACATGATAGTGAGCACGTGCTGCGAGAATAATAATCCACTCTGGGAAACTTCTTAAGTCAAATGCGAGCACTGTGTACCAAGCCTGACTGGATTTGTAGCTTCAGATGAGATGGCAAACCTTGTGCAGTGCAAAGAACACATGACTAGTGATCTCAAGTTCATTGTCAGCGCAGGGAGGAGGAGTTAGAAGTGCTGCTGTGAACTTCACACACTCATGCCTCCTGAGGCAGGAGAGACCATGCTGCGTATGGTTGTAAAATCGGGTAGCCGGGTAGATGCCTCCAAGGTCACAAGTGTGACTCAACGCATCAACTGTACATACATACCTACATACCTACATGGTCACACGTTGGTATTAGGGCCTGAAGGTGTTTTTACAGTTACGTATCGTTGGCGAGCTCGTTTTTATGAACCTTTTCAGTGTTTTGAGGCCTTGGTGTTTGAAAAGTAGGTGAACTACCTGTGTTTCAGGGACACACAGACAATTTTTCACTGCAAACCAGGTCGGAAAAACGGAAAGCGGAGCAGCAACATTTTATTGCTGCAGGGTAGTCGGACCTAATTTGTTCACGGTGTTTACGGTGTTTTACGCACACTACGCAGAAGACCACCTGCCCAAGTCGAACGGCAGAGAAACCATACACTTGTCGGACCTAAGTCTGTCCGGTTTTTACGATGTTATACGCACATGACGCAAAAAGACTACCTGCCCAAGTCCAACGGCAGAGAAAAAGCAGCCAAGTGGACGAACATCGCCGCAAAAAAGTAAAATAACAGCAGCAAAGCCTTCAACATAGATCCCACAGCCCCAATCACTTCCAACATACCTCCACGAGAAGCCTCAAGAGAGCCCCAACATTGGGCGAAACGTGCCAACATGGAGAAGGATATGCCCTAAGAATGCACCAAGATCGCCGAAGATTTGCGCAAACATGCCCCAAATTTGACTGCCCATTGGAGCAAGCTTTCGTAAGCAACAAAAACGACAACAAACTGTCAAAGCCACCTTTCTTACACTTGTCGGACCTCATGTTTCATGGATTTATGGTGTTTTACGCACAGTACGCAAAAGACCACCTGCCAAGTCAAACGGGGCAGAGAAAAAGCAGCCAAGTGGACCAACATGGCCGCAAAACAAGAAAGATTACAGCAGCAAAGCCTTCAACATAGCCCTGATCCAGCCCCCACGGCCTCAATCACTTCCAACATACCTCCACGAGAAGCCTGAAGAGAGCCCCAACATTGGGTGAAATGTGCCAATATGGAAAAGGGTATGTCCCAAGAATGCACCAAGATCGCCGAAGATTGGCACAAACATGCCTCAAATTTGACCACTCACTGGAGCAAGCTTGCATAAACAACAATAACGACCAAAAATTGTCAAAACCACCTTTCTTACACTTGCCGGACCTCATTCTTCATGGTCTATAATTCTATATATAGTGCTTTACACACACTACGCAAAAGACCACCTGCCCAAGTCAAACGGCAGAGATAAAGCAGCCAAGCGGACCACCATGGCTGCAAAACAAGTAACAGAACAGCAGCAAAGCCTTCAACATAGCCCTGATCTAGACCCCACAGCCCCAATCACTTCCAACATACCTCCTCGAGAAGCCTCAAGAGAGCCCCAGCATTGGGCGAAACAAGTAACATAACAGCAGCAAAGCCTTCAACATAGCCCTGATCTAGACCCCACGGCCCCAATCACTTCCAACATACCTCCACGAGAAGCCTCAAGAGAGCCCCAACATTGGGTGGAGTGCTCCAATATGGAAAAGGATATGTCCCAAGAATGCACCAAGATC